TTATATGGTGGATTACGTTGATGGATTTTCATATGTTGAAACATCCCTGCATCCCTGGGATGAAACCTACTTGATCGTGGTGAATGATTGTTTTGATGTGTTCTTGGATCCGATTTGCCAGTATTTTATTGAGTATTTTTGCATCAATGATCATGAGGGATATTGGTCTGAAGTTCTCTTTCTTAGTTGTATCTTTGTGTGGCTTGGGGATCAAGGTTATTGAAGCCTCATAGAAAGAGTTTGGCAAAGACCCTTCTGCTTCTATTGTGTGGAACACTTTGAGAAGAATTGGTATAAGCTGTTCTTTGAAATTCTGGTAGAATTCTGCACTGAGGCCATCTGGACCTGGACTTTTTTGGTTGGGAGACTTTTGATGACAGCTTCTATTTCCATAGGGGTTATAGGTCTATTTAAATTGCTTATCTGTTCTTGATTTAGTTTTGGCAAATGATAGCTGTCCAGGAAGTCATCCATTTCCTTTAAATTTTCGAATTTTGTGGAGTACAGGTTTTCAAAGTATGACCTAATGATTCTCTGGATTTCCTCAGAGTCTGTTGTTATGTCCCCCTTTTCATTTCTGATTTTGTTAATTTGCGTGTTCACTCTCTGCTGTTTGGTAAGTTTGGACAAAGGTTTGTCTATCTTGTTGATTTTCTCAAAGAACCAACTCTTCGTTGCATTGATTCTTTGTATTGTTTTCCTGGTTTCTACTTTGTTGATTTCAGCCCTCAATTTGATTATTTCCTGGAGTCTACTCCTCCTGGGGGAGTTTGCTTCTTTGTGTTCTAGAGCTTTCAGCTGTGATGTTAATTCTCTGGTATAACTGTTCTCCTGTTTCTTCATGTGAGCACTTAGTGCTATGAACTTCCCCCGTAGCACTGCTTTCAAAGTGTCCCATAGGTTTGGGTATGTTGTGTCTTCATTCTCATTGAATTCGAGGAAGTCTTTAATTTCTTTTTTTATTTCCTCTTTGACCCAGGGATGGTGCAGTTGAGCATTATTCAATTTCCATGAGTTTGTAGGTTTTCTGCAATTTGTGTTGTTGTTGAATTCTAATTTTAAAGCATGGTGGTCTGATAAGATGCATGGAGTTATTCCAATTTTTTTTGTAACTCTTGAGGTTTGACATGTTGCCAAGTATGTGGTCGATTTTTGAGAAGGTTCCATGTGGTGGTGAGAAGAAGGTATATTCTTTTTTATGTGGATGAAATGTTCTATAGATATCTGTTAATCCCAGTTGGGTCATTACTTCTATTAGACCCTTTGCTTCTTTGTTGAGTTTCTGTCTGGTATTCCTGTCTAGTGGTGAGAGTGGTGTGTTGAAATCTCCCACTATAACTGTGTGGGGCTTTAGATGAGATTTAAGTTCTAATAATGTTTCTTTAACGAATGTGGATGCCTTTGTATTTGGGGCATAGATGTTCAGGATAGACACTTCATCTTGGTGGGTTTCACCTGTGATGAGTATGTAATGCCCTCCTTCATCTCTTTTGATTGATTTTATTTTAAAGTCTAGTTTGTTAGATATTAGGGTTGCTACCCCTGCTTGTTTCTTGGGTCCATTTGATTGAAAATTTTTTCCCAACCTTTAACTCTCAGGTAATGTCTGTCTTTGAGGGTGAGGTGTGTTTCTTGTATGCAGCAGAAGGAAGGGTTCTGTCTTCGAATCCATTCTGCTAGTCTGTGTCTTTTTATGGGTGAGTTAAGGCCATTAATATTGAGGGATATTAATGACCATTGATTGCTCATCCTTCTTCGATTTGCGATGGTTGTTGTTGGTGGAATTATGTGTGGTATTTCACCCCTTTGTTCTTTTGGATGTTGGTAGAGAGGGATTCTCTAATGCTTATGTTTTTCTGGTTGCAGTTAGCTTCCTTGGGTTGGAGTTTTCCTTCCAAAATTTTCTGTAGGGCTGGGTTAGTGGACACATATTGCTTGAATCTAGTTTTGTCATGGAATATCTTGTTTTCTCCGTCTATAGTGATTGAGAGCTTTGCCGGGTATAGTAGTCTGGGCTGGCATCCATGGTCTCTTAGCTTCTGGCTTTCAGAGTTTCCATGGAGAAATCAGGTGTAATTCTGATAGGTCTGCCTTTATATGTTACTTGACCTTTTTCCTTAGCTGCTCTTAATATTCTTTCTTTATTCTGTATGTTTGGGGTCTTGATTATTATGTGGCGAGGGGATTTTTTTTGTGGTCCACTCTATTTGGTGTTCTGTAGGCTTCTTGTACCTTCATTGGCATGTCTTTCTTAAGGTTGGGAAAGTTTTCTTCTATGATTTTGTTGAATATGCCTTCTGCCCCTTTGAGGTGGGTTTCTTCTCCTTCTTCTATACCTATTATTCTTAGGTTTGGTCTTTTCATGGTGTCCCATATTTCCTGGATGTTTTGTGTTAAGGATTTGTTGGATTTAAGGTTTTCTTTGGTTGATAAATCCATTTCTCCTAGTGTATCTTCAACACTTGAGATTCTCTCTTCCATCTCTTCTATTCTGTTGGTAATGCTTGTATTGGTAGTGCCTGACTGTTTGTCCAGCTTTTCTATTTTCTGCCTTTCTTCAGATTGTGTTTTTTTAATGTCTCTATTTCAGTTTTCAACCCTTGCAGTGTTTGCATTGCTTCTTGCAATTTTCTGTTTATCCTTTCGTCCGTTTGTTGCCTTATATGAATTTTTTGGTTTGTTCTTTCTTCCATTTCTTGCATTTTTTGGTTTGCTTTTTGTTCCATTTCTCGCATTTTGTGCTTTGTTTCTTCTTCCATTTCCTGCCTTTTTTGGTTTGTTTCTTCTTCCATTTTTTCATTTTTTGCTTTGTTTTTTCTACCATTTCTTGCATTTTTTGCTTTGTTTCTTCTTCCATTTCCTGCCTTTTTTGGTATGTTTCTTCTTCCATTTCTTGAATTTTTTGCTTTGTTTTTTCTTCTATTTCTTGCATTTTTTGCTTCATTTCTTCTTACATTTCCTGCCTCTTTTGGTTTGTTTTTTCTTCCAATTCTTGCATTTTTTGGTTTGTTTTTTTCCATTTCTTGCATTTTTTGGTTTGTTTTTTTTCCATTTCTTTGAGGGATTTTCCTATATCCTCTTTTAGGGCCTCTATCATTTTCATGAAGGTGCTTTTAAGGTCATTCTCTTCTGCTTCGTTCGCATTGGAATGTTGGGGTCTTGCTGGTGTGGAGTCTCTAGAATCTGGCGGTGTCATATTTGTTTTTCTGTTGCTGAGTGTGTTTTTGTATTGTCTCTTTCCCATCTCTTCTTCTAGTGGGTGCAGAAAGAGCCCCTTACTGGTCTGGGGACCTGAGTTCCCTTTTGGTGGGTGCTAGCAAGTCCAATAATCTGGTGGTTCTTCTATTCCTTGTCCAAATGCTGGTCCCGTGGGTGGAGAAGAAGAATAGGAATCTGGGGCACTTAGCCTCCTACCTGGTCCCCTGGACCCTATGCTGGGTCCTGTTGTACCTGACCTGAACAGCTACTCCCCTGGACTCCCTGTCTCCTCTGGTTTCTTGGTCTCGTTGGTGGGAGAGAAGATCTGGAGTCTGGGGTGCTTGGCTCCCGCCGGGATTGGGAGCTCTGTGCAGTTCCCAGGCGATCTGCAGGCACTGGAACACAGGCCGGGAAGCTGGCCTGTTTACCTGCTGCTGCTGGAGGAACAGCTCGCGAAAGTTCTCTTGAAAGCCTGCTTTACAACTAATTCAATTTAAGTAGATACTTACAAGACCATGCACAGTCATTTATATGTCCCACAGTTGACTAGTTAGTAGAGAAGGTAGTAGCAGTTTTGTGCCCCCCTGTCTAGGAATTTCCTGAAGAGAGTTGAAGTTGCTCCAGTTCATTGACCAATGACTCTTTTTCTGACCCTGTTCCACGGGCCACCACCATCTCTGCATCCTGGCTCTGGATGGAGTGAGCCACCAGTACCATCTTTATATCTTAGTCACCAGTCCACCACCATGATCTTTTCACTCAATTTCCCGGCTCTGAGGAGGCCAGTTATTGTTTTATGTCCTATTTTTGGGGGTCTCTTTGGCAGATCCTCCTGGAACTAATATTCTAATATAATGACAGTGTCTCTCTCACAATAACTACGGAAAGGTCGTTGTGTCTGAAGCATGAGCCCCCACATGTAGCAGTGCAGTTCACAGAGGATGAGGGCTCAGTGAGCCTCATGTCTGTAGACTAGGGACATGGTCATTTGACTCTGGGACTGGGGGAAGGAGCTGTGAAGGAGTAGGAGCAAACTCCTCAGGAGAATGGAATTGGAGGATGAAGAACAAACACAACTCTCACATGTCCCCAGAAGAGCTGCAGAGGATCAGAGACCAGACACAAAGAGGAACACAACTGGCTGGTGTGTTGTCTTCCCTTTCATGCAGGGCTTCTTGGCATGTGTAACTGTATTTTGTCTTGAGTGAGTGATGTGGGCACAGATCACCAGTAGTTTTTGGATATGAATTCTAGAAGTAGCTGCCTGTGCTCCAGCATCTCACTGTGAACCTTGTGCCCCAGAGGGAGCAGCTCTCCCCTGGTACCCGCTGTGCGGGTGTCAGCTACCAAGTGAGGCAGGAACCTCTCTGGGCAGATTCCTGCAACAGCATTCCTTCTCAGAGTCCCTCCTACAGTTTGCAAACTGAGCACACCCATAGGTATTTCTGTCCATCACTTCAGTCTTTTAAACATATGCCCCATAACCTTAAACTGAGATGTTTAATAACGTAGTGAATACACCACTTGGCAAGCTCAGCAATGGATTCACCCGTCCATGAATATGCTGAGACTCTCTGAAGAAACCCTAATGTTTTCCATGTTCAAGGAAGACATTGTAGTCTGACTGAGGTCAATACCCTCCTTACCTGCTGCAGGTTCTAAATCTTAAATCTTCTTCACTCTTTTAGGGTTCCATCTCTGCTTCATTTGGCCTTGAATTTACCCTAGATGTTTAGTTACAGTGTTTTGTAAATAGGGCAGGCATGAACAATGCCATTTTAACCCGGCTTTGTCTCTTTCAGGGCAGAGGCAATCCTTCAGACTGAATGAGGAAGAAACATAGATGGTCTATCTGGATAAGAAAAAGAGGAACAAGATTCTAGAGAAATGGACAGCTGGCATAAAGTTTCATGCCACCTCTTCAGACAACAACAGAACTTATTTTGGCTGGAGTTTAGGGGCTCCTTTCCTTGTGACCTGTCCTGTTCTGCTGCAGAACTGAGTTAGGCTTACTGCCCTACTGCTGTTCTGGCTGCAGAATCCAGAAACACACCCAGCAGCAGCTCCTCACCAACACGCCCAATCATGGGTCCTCAGAAGCCTACCTTACTCACAGACCTCACAGAATACAATATTTCAAGAGAACCAAAGAAAGAAAAGATGGTCCCAAGAGTTCTGCTATTGACCTCTGGCTATAAAGGGTGTTGTGCCTGGGACCAAGAGACTGACGATAAAGTGATAAGATTCTCCAATGAAACTTTTTGTGACTAAAATAAACTACTTAGAGTCTCTTAAGGTACACAATGTGTGTGGTCTCCATGTGAGGTGACATCTTGTGGGCTCCACAAAGAGGATGAATGTCAAAATCCTAGCTCCTTGTGAGTGCATCTTCTCCCACTGGAAAAGTGCGAAACAGTATAGGTGAGCAAATGAGCTAGCTGAATGGTGTGGGTTCATCATCTATTTCACTTGAGTAAGAGGCCAACAGGGAAAGGAACATGTCCTGAGCAGTATGAATGTAGCTTTGCCATGGAAAACTTCCTCAGACTTTCGGTGCACATCTCTGCATTTCAAAGACTCAGTCAGTACTACATTGCCTGATTGACTGGGTTTGCCCCTGACATAGTAACAGCAAGCACATGCCTTCCCCTTCATTATATACTGGAGGCCAGACTTAGTAGTCACCTACTGACTTAACCCTGGCCTCACTTTATAAGCAAGATGCTTGGTTCTCTGACCCTGTTTCTTATGGAAGGACTTGTAGGACTCACCTGCTTGTCGTTGTCGATTGTGATGCAAAATGCAGTGGCTACCTGTGACAGCACAACCTTCTTGCTACTTGGACATTTCCTTCAATTTGATCTGGTGCTCAACAACGCTCTGGGTTTAGAGGGTCACAGTGGACACCCAGTGCCTGGAACAATAGACACCAGGACCCTTCCCAAAGCACACCTCTCTAGTCTCTTGGTTGTCCTTTGGTCTTCAACAAGGAAATACCAATGACACCTGGAAGTTTTGGAGGCTGAGTACAGCTGTCAAGACCATGAATTGGAATCTTGTCTTCTACCAGGGACTAGTATTCTGTGACCTCAACGTACCCCCAGCAGTGCAGCCACAGAGATTAAACCCCTGGCATCAGGACAGGGTGTCACCCTGCTCATTCCAGGAGGTGCTCCTTCACACTCAAATTTCTCACCCAGTAGGGCCTTGCAAAAAAACTTACTGGCTGTCAGCCCCATGGCTATCAGAGCTTGCTCTGCCTGTGACCTTCAAATGGAAGCACCAGGAACTCCTCTGTGGAAGCTCAGGATGGGAGGAGACACCACCAAACAGTGGTGGAGTAAGGAGGCTGTAGAGACAAACACAGATGATGGCAGAGCTGCTGAAGTGTTGATCAGGCAGGAGGAGGAGGGTGAGATGGTGCTCCACAGGAGGATGGAGATTCCCTTCATCCTGCCTGGAACAGCTTGCTTCTCTGTCTTTCCCCACGAGTTGATTTCCAAGGCAGCATCCCACATTTTCCCTTTGGTACAAACTGGGCCTCCAATGGGACTAGGTTCTCTCTTCTTGTGGCAGGCTATGTCCTGCATCCTCTGCAGAGAAGTATGGCCCTGCTCCTGCTAGCTCAAGGCTCCTGCCCTGTCCAGCACACTCACCCCTTTTCCTCATCTTGGTGACTAGGACACCTCATTTTACCCCTTCTCTCCCCTCAAATCTTCCCCACACTTTCTCTCTTTTACATTGTTTCACCCCCTTTTCTTTTTGACATTCTTCCTCCTGGGCATACAGTTTGTGTACTTCTGTCCAGCTCATCAAAGAAACAGTGTGGATGAGGGGACTAGCTGGTAAAGACTCTGAGCTCAGTTCTGTGTGAGTGTTCAGTCATACATGTAGAGCCATAAGGGGGAAGCCATGTGGACCATATCTCTCTCTAGAAAGGGATGCTTGGGTCCCAGTGAACTGAAGGAGGATGTAACTGTTAGTTCAACCCTTGCTGTTAGAGGAGGGGGTATAGGAGTTTGTGCCATGCTTCTTGTTGGTGTCTGATGGTCCACGGGTGTTTGAGTGCCCAACCTCTAGACGTTCTAGCCTGTGTCCCTCCTGTGGCTCTAAGTCTGCACCAGGTAGAAATCAGCCCCAGTTTTTAGCAAACAGATATTTTTGTCTGTTCTTCATTATTTAAATGAAGATGAAAAAGATGCTGTTAGTGATTTTGGACATAGACAGGACTTACTCAGCACTGAGCTAGCCCTACTGTACCATGACTCTCCCCTGATTTCACCCTTCTGAATCCATTCACCTCATACTAAACCCTCCTCCTTCTTCCACAGACTCTGGCTATAACAACTGTCTGTTTCTGGCTCAACTTTCCCAGATAAGGCGGATGCTGTGAGACATGTTAAGGTTCATAATATTCTATGAGTGGATACCGTCAGTCAGTGCCAGAATGCATTGTAAAGGAAATGCAATGCAGAAGTGGATATTGGTGGCCATGCCTGCCAGATTTCCTCTGGAACTCAATTCTTCTTTTTTGTAGCCCCTTTCCATGGGTGTGTGCTGCTGCTTTTCTTTTGGGTAAGGAGGTAACAACATAACCTTGGAAACATGTTAAGAGTCCACCTCCACACCCACTTCTACCCCTTCTTCTATTGTTTTTGGAGTCTGTGGGTTCAACCTGGGGTTGGCCACTGCTGATGATCCAGGTTATATCAGGCAAGCTATACCCTGTGCAGCCCCTGTCCTTTCTCAACACTCCTTGCAGTTGGTTCTTTCTAGATGAGATAGTGCTAGGAAGGGCAGGTTCACTCCCTCTCCTCTTCACAGGGGAAGGGAGGTTAGAAGGACATGCAGGGCTTGTGTTGTGTGGATGGGTCTTCACAAGTGTCCATGTTTGCTGATAGATGTACTCGTCACTGAATTGATGATAGAATATACTGTAAGTAGCCATGATATCATTATGCCTTTTCTTTCCTATAGTTTCCATGATTTCTTGAACCTTGTAGCCAAAGTAATAACATAGCTTACCCAGTCTGGTGCCTGGGTTCAGGCACACTAATATTATTGAAGGCAAGAATGAGACTTCATCACAGGTATCTCATGAATGTTTCATGTTTGTCCATTACCTTGTGCCCCGGATCTAAAACTCAAGAGGTATTAAATGAAGTCTTCCAAATGAAGGTTTTTGAAAGGTTTCATCAACTCCGATATATATTTGTGGCTGTGATCAGCTGGTGCAGAGTTAAAGAGGCTGAGGCCTTGTATGCTGTGGACCAAATGACCATAGTGTAAATCAGAATGCCAAAGCTCCACCTGACTCTGGAAAGTCCATGATAGCCTCAGTCCTCCAACATCTCTGGTGCTAAATAAGAAAGTGTGCCAATGACAACATCTGACCAGTGGTGACTTTTATGGCCATCAGGACATCTAGAGTATGTGTTTCTGTCTACATCAAAGAGAACATTCTCTGCTTTTATGTCACAATGGGCAATGTTTTTGTCACAGTCGGCAATATTTCTTTTATGGAGGTTCTGAACTGCAGATGCCACCTTATGGGAAATGGGCCACACCTTCTCCTCACTCATACATCTGCATGCCTCTGTGAGGTTGACCATATCTTCCCCCTTCCATACATTCCATGATCAAATCTCTTTTTTGTTTGTCAAATAACTGGAAGAATCTCACAATGTTCTGGTTTAGGACAGCTTCCATGATGTCCATCTCAGTGGTGATATCAGAGGCTTTGATGATGGCCTTGCCCAAGATCCTCACAGCTACTCTGGTATTGGTGGGTACATGGCATGTTGCTTAACCTTTGGAAATGAGCGGTAGGCCAGGTTCTTTAAGATGTAGTTAATTCTAAGGATGTCCTCATCAGAGGGGCTGCCTCCAAACTCTTCCTCTGTTTGCTACCTTCACTGATGGAAAATGGTACTACTTTGCAATGCTTAAAAAATTAAAGGGCCACAAATTCCTACATCTTAAAAAAACCTAATATACTCTTCAAGGTTGCATACAAATAAGAGCAACTGAAACCCCAGAGTAGCAGATGAAAAAGCATAATGAATATCAGAGCTGGGATTGAGTGGACACCAAAGTGACAAAAGAAAGACCAAGATCAAGAAAACTGATAAATCCTTATTTCAACTAACAGACATAATAAAATTAAAGGCAAAAGATGATATCTCAATAGATAAAATGAAACCCCAGGGGACATTTTTGGCAAACTTATACTTCAGAGAGATGACAATACTGGGAGAAATGGGAAAGTTTCTAGACTCATGTAGCCAACACTAAGATTGAACTAAGATATTTAAAAACACTTCAAGACATCAATATATGGAACATGATTGAAGTAAACATATACTCCAACAATGAATAGTTCAAGGATAGTGATTATCACTGAAGAACTCTGTTGACCATTAGAGAAGACCCCGTGCTCCTGAAACTACTTCACCAAATAGCAATGGAAGGAACACCTACCTCTAAAGACATTACCCTTATTCCTAAACCACAGACACGCCAAAACGAGAAAGAGTAAGCTGATTTTCTTGATGAACTTGTGAAAATTGTTATGAGAGTACCAAGTTAAACAACACGTTAAGAAGTGGATGTCTCATGGTCAAGGTGGGTTCAGCAAGGCATGCTGGGAATTCTACACACACAAGTATCCAAGAAGATTCAAGAGAAGAGTCCTATGCTCAGCCACCAAAACAGAATGTTGCCATTTGCTGAGACATAGATGGGCAATTGGCTTATGTTATTTGTAACATGGCATGGATGGGTGGATGGGACCTTAATGTAAAACATATTTTAGGCATATGCAGGGGTCTGATAAGAATTCACAGAACAAGGGAAAATGATCCAATTTTATATGTATGCAATATGTATGCATGGAAGTGTCAGAATAAAGTTCCTCATTTTGCACAGCTAACATGTTTCACAATAAACAAGATGAAACTGTGAAAGAAATCACAATGAAGGAAAATGAACACACAACCCAAAGCAAAAGCGGTAAGAGGGTGAATATGAAAAGAAGACCTAAACAATAAAGCACCATCAGGTGTCTGTCATTTCAATGTTTTGTGATGTCACAAAAGAGTGGACCAATAGCCGCAGGGAAAAAAACCCAATTTGGTTTCATTGACTCCAAGAACTGTATCAGATACTTTTCCCCATGCCTGTGTCCAAGTCTGACAAGCAACTTAAAGGAGGCTGGATTTAATTCACCTCAGGCTTTCAGAGAACAGGGAAGGGACTGTCCTGGGAGGAGCTGGTAGTTACAAAGGTATGTCTGAAGCA